ATGTAAGTTCTGTTTATGCTTATGTTTCTGTATTGATGATGACATCCCAAATGTTTTAAAATGAACAAAAATACATTTCTTCGGAAATGCTTTGATAACGTATTTATCATGTTTTTCCTAGGAACAAATTCCGCAACATTTTTTATTAAAAGAGGTACTCTGATTTTTATAAAGCATAAATAAATCGGTCTTTTCTGGCCATGAAAATGGGGATGTCACAGAGGCATAGTCTAGGGTGAACTTGAACACCTATGTAATCGTTTCAAGGAATAATATAAAACCTTCGTTTTTCTATCTGATGTGTTAAGTTGTTATGTGATTTTCTTGTATGGTGACTTGGAAAACTGTGAGACAATACTTGGGACGGGTATGAGTAGGTGTGAATGGTAGTAGAGGCCTATACTACCGGAAGCATAGGACTCACACTTGGATCGGGGAAAGTCACAAGGTTACCAAGGCACTAGAAATTGATTTTGTTTTGTTCATGTCTGTCGTTACCATCGTTTCGGTAATGACGAGGAAGATTGTTGTTATTCTGACCCTAGTGGTCATATCATATCGAGTCCGACTAAGATGAGTATGTTACATGGTTCAGAGAACCAAGTTTGATGTAGCATCCAACTTAAGCCAGAAGATTGAAGTGGAAGATAATCAAAGCGATTGTGATCATTGTTAAAGTAAGAAACTTGTAGCTAGAAATGCTACATGCTAAAAGGTGATTATATCACATTAGAACATGAAGGAAGGTATATTCCATTCTGGAATTTGACTCTAAGAGACCTGAGTCTAAACGCTGCATCACACGATGATAGGTCATTAGAATATGACACATCGGTCCATTGTAGTAATCAAAGCACTTATCTTAAGTTGTTAAGAATAAGAAAGAGACTCCAATAAGGGCCGAGATTGTGACAAGAAGGTCTTGATTGAAATCCTGATACGAGACAGAGTGCGGGTGCAAGATCAAGCACCGCATGCAGTCAAGAAGTCCAAGAGTCAGATACTCATTCGAAGAAACATAGAGGTTACAGTTATTACCTAGGATGAAGAGATAACGTATGGAATCATTATACAGCCCTGTTTCGTTGATAATTTCGGGACGTAATTATCCTAAGCGGAGATAATTGTAACGCCCGCAGATCCGGGCTAGTCAATTTAGAGGCAATAAGTGTCGAAAACGAATTTTCGACAAAAGATCATTTAGAATAAATAATCTTAACCAAGTTGTAGAATATGTCTCAAGGGTTCCGTACATATAAAGAACGCCGAAATCCGAGTTATAACGAAGAAGTTATGACCCGTCGAAGTTTTACGGCAAAACCGACACGACACCAGGAATCGTAAAACGTGAATTTACGATAAAGTACTTTCTAGACTTAGCGATCTAAAAGAAAGTCGTACTATATGTTAAACCGAGAGTGTGCATAAAAAGAATGTCCAAATCTGACTTCGTATGAGGAAGTTATGATTTTTCTAAGATTTAGCATAGCAGTGCACAACCCAAAATTCGAATTTTAGATCGGTCGATTTTTAACCAAAACAATCTCAACGAGAATTGAATATCTCATTAATAGGAGCTCAACGATAAAAATACAGTCAAAAACGGAGCTCGTATGCGAAAGATATGGACGAAACTTAGTCCCTACTCTTCGAGCGCGGCGAATTCGATACAGTTTTGTAAATCTGAGATAGAATGAGAATTAGCCAATGGGATCTAAATGAAAGTTGTAGTACTCGTAAATACCAACGCGTGGATATGAAGAACGTAGAAAACGGAGCTCGTACGCGGAAGATACGGACGAAACTTAAGGCCTACTCTACAATAAAACCCCTATAAATAAGAGATGAACTCTTCATATTTTCTTCACACCATCAGCCTTTCTTTCTCTCTCTAACTTCTCTCTAGACTCCCTAAACCCCCCTAAAGCCTAGGAAACTTCCCTAGCGCTAGAAGAAATCCCCGAAGCGCACGAAGGCTCCGAGAAAAAGAGCTTTTCGGCTCGGAAACGCTGCTCCAACAAAGCCCGGTTTTTAATAAAAACCCGCTGTAAGTAAGATACGCCTACCCTATTTTAAGTATAGCTTATGTTTAAATATAATATCGTTATTATGAACCTATAAATAATATTTATCAGTGATTCAAAGTCGTTATACTAATTGATCTACTTACGGGAATGATGTCTAGGCTGTGATTTAGTGAGGTGTTTAAAGTGGGATTTCCAAACAGTATACTTCGTATACCAAACGGACCCTACCTCCGATATGATCCTACCTGGGTGTTCCTTACTTGATAGATCATGAAAGTAGACTTTGATTTAATGATGAATCTACACTAATAATTAGTCGCAATAAAGATTAGACTAAAACTTAACGATAATAATGTTAGGTTTCGTCGAAGGAAAATAGAATCGTTAGAAGCGAAGCGCTACCCGAATTTGGAATCACCACCTTAACAGGTGAGTGCATAGTTACTTTCATCTTACACATAGATATGAAGTATTTTTATATAAATTACGTGATATGTGTGTATACTGTCTGAATACTTGTTGTCTATGCTGGATGAAACGTTTTATACATGTTTTAAATGATCTAAACTGTATATGTATTTTATATCTACAAAATATGTTGGGTAAAACATGGGTAGATTAGAGGTGAGATAAATGATGAGCGATGATAGATGAGATAAATGATGAGCGATGAAAGATGAGATGAATGATGAGCGATGATATATGAGTGATAAAATATGGTGCGAAGCGATGACCTAAGCGATGAGCCAAAGCGATGAGCCAAAACGATGAGCCAAAGCGATGAGCCAAAACAAATGAGCCAAAACGATGAGCCAAAGCGGTGAGCCAAAACAATGAGCCAAAACGATGAGCCAAACGATGACCCAAGCGATGGCCCCGTCATCTATTAGAGTATGGATGACAACCACGGACTATTCTAGACAGTCTAGTGGAACACTAGCAGGCTCGCAACCTGTAGGTGTTGTGAACGATGTGTTCACCCGGTGTACTCTAAAAACCCATTGACAAGTATTACGAGTGGACTCTCGAAAACGATACTGTCAATAAACGAGATAAACCCTGGCGACTATGCAGACTTAGTGTCGATTCCTTAGGATACTCCTTAGGAATGAATGAACGAGGAATAGCTGAATCTTAGGGTAGATCCTTAAGAGTAAATAAGATAATGGGGATGGGTAATTGGGTTGATTGTTTGATGTTTAACATAATAATTATATTATTGTGGGTTGAAAACCCTATGTACTCACCAGGTTTCCCAACCTGACCCACTCAAGCTTATTTGTATCACAGGTGTCGATATGAAGTTACTTTACACTGAGGGATTTGAAAGAGATGTAGATCACTAGTGTAAATGAATGTAAGTTCTGTTTTTGCTTATGTTTCTGTATTGACGATGACATCCCAAATGTTTTAAAATGGATAAAAATACATTTCTTCGGAAATGCTTTGATAACGTATTTATCATGTTTTTCTGGGAACAAATTCCGCAACATTTTTATTAAAAAGAGGTACTCTGATTTTTATAAAGCATAAACAAAATCGGTCTTTTCTGACCGTGAAAATGGGGATGTCACAGCAGACATGCCACCATGTCGTGGCAATGTCTCAACAAAATAGTCGTGAAGCCCCTTTTCTTCACGTCATGGCGAGCATCAAGCCATGACGTGGTTTCTTACTAAAACTGCTTATTTGATTAAGCTCTTAATATTGTAAATTTCCTTTTCTCAAACTTTACAGAGGGCTTCTAGGGACTCCAAGGTCTCACAAAAATCTCAACTTTATGGACACGCATGATCCATGCATGTCCTTCGCTCAAATTAGGTCAAATGGTGAGAAAATGACCCAGAACTCATGCAAAGCTCACAAATCTCATCCAACTTCTAGATCCAGGAGATATAAGGCTCAAGGGACTTTGGTGAGCCATAAAGTAGCAAACTTTATCTCATCTCATCATTCAAACTTTATATATGGACCAAAACATGTTAAGAAAATTAGATCTACAAGAAAGAAATCACCAAAATGGGGACTTGAGGTCTTACAAATAGTCCAGAAGGTGCACAAGAGGATGGAGGTGGCTTGCTTGCTAGATTCAATCACCAGAGACTCTTTCTTCTTCATTCCAAGGTTACAAAAACACCAAAGATGAGCTCAAAAACTTGCAAGGAGGCTAGGGTTTTATCAAAGGCGCTTTGAAGGTGATGGAGGATGAAGGTGGAAGGAACCCTAGCCACCATTTCCCTTAAATAGTGCACAAAACCCATAAATCTAGGGTTTACATTGTTGTCGTTACCACGTCGTGGGCAATAAATGTCCACATCATGACGGCCGAGTGAAACACGCATTTCATGTAATGCTCCCACATCATGGTGATCCTTTCACCATGTCATGGACACCCAAAAACTCATAGATTAAAGATGTGAAATTTATACATGGAAGCGGGTGTTACATTATAGACTTGTATTATCAAAAAAAAATATTTACAAATTTAAAATAGCAAACTTTCTTTTCATCTTTTATTCTTTACAAAGAAAGTTTCATGGTATGAAAACTTGCAGGTCTACCCTTCCACAATTAGATTTTGAGATAAAAATTATGAAGAGTGAGAGGTTTTTGCCCAAACATAGACATTTGGTTGTTGGGACTAATTCCATGTAAAGGGACTAGATTTGCAACGTTTATTAGAAGATGGACCAAATATGAAATTCTCTTCCCCGCTATATATGAGAAACTCATTTCGCTTTGTGGTTCCCGTTCAGCTTCCATTATTTATTTGCATGCCAACAAGAGGCCTGGCTATCAACCATTGATGGTTCCAATTTATAGTTGCAGGCCTCCAGCTTCTTCTATTCAACCACCCTCATCCGTCTAATTCCGTTGCCACCATCACCGCCCTCCGCCGCCACCATTTAAGAAATCAGCCAAAATCTTTAAACACCCTCACCATTAATTCATACAAAATCAAGCCACCACCACATGGCGAGAGTGTTTGCGATCGAACAACTCAACCAGCTACGTGAAATTTTCACCCGATTCGACATGGATTCCGACGGTTCCCTCACATACCTAGAACTGGCGGCTCTCCTCCGTTCTCTAGGTCTGAAACATTCCGGTGACCAGATCTATGTACTCTTCAATAATATGGATTCCAATGGGAATGGTGCTGTCGAATTTGAAGAACTGGTGAGCGCCATGTCCATTGATGTGAAGACCGAAGAAATTCTTCTCAATCAAAAACAACTCATTGAGGCTTTTCATTCGTTTGATCGAGATGGACATGGATTCATCACGCCTGCGCAGCTTGCCAAATCAATGGCAAAGATGGGTCAGCCATTGACGTATCGTGAACTCACCGCGATGATCGAAGAAGCTGATGTTGATGGCGATGGTGTCATTAATTTTAAAGAATTTTCAAGAATAATGGCAAAATCTGCAGCTGATATCTTTGGAGTTCATGTTTGATAAGAGAGGTCCTTCTTCATTGAGCCAAATATTACACCATTTTTATCATTTACTTTTGACTTGAGATGAAAGGGATCATGTGTTGCCCTCTCTCCTTAGGTTGATATAGGTGGAATTCGCAGTAGGTTATCAAGAAGTATTTAAGTGGGGGAAACTCCCACATCGCTTGTAAATAATATTTTGAACCCTGAAGTGAACTACTAATAAATTTTAAGTTGATTAGGAGGTTGTGATAAGACTAATCGCTCTTTGGGTCATTGCATATATTCAATTGGACCAAGTACCTGATACAGGGGAGATCAAAAACTGCAAAAAACAAAAAACTAGATTTATGATTTTTTGGATGTTAGTATTAAATTAAGGTACAGTTTTGTTGTAATAAGAAATGAGTCAAAATACTAGCAAATAGATGAGTTTTTGTCTGCACTTCTCTTTGACCGAGGAGGATGAAGCTGGACTTTTATAACCATTTTTCTACTTCTCATGTGCTTCGGGTGTAATAACCCTCATTTGTGTCTAAAACAAGCATTCTCTTGTTTCTAAGTAAATACTACATGCCAATACTCAATGATGATACGCCTGGTGCTTTGGTTGATCAACAGTCCAACTAAAATACAAGAATCAAAAAGGATTTACCATAATCAACCATCAATGGATTGATAAAACTAAAAACAGAAACTACACATCATAATAGAACTAAAACAACTGTAGCCTTGAAATTCATTTTGACACCATAAATCTGTGTTGAAGATTACAATGACATTACATTTTCTATGTAAATAAAAAATCCAAAACTTGTATATTATTCTTCAGTCTCTCGATTTCCTCTTCTCTCTCTTCCCATCTCCATAATCTTTATCATCATAACGTCGGGATTTGCTGGACGAATCCCGGCTTCTATGCTTTCGATGTCTCCCATGACTACTACTCCGATCGCGAGAAGATTCCTTCTTTCTCTCTTTCCGTCTCGAACTGTGTCGATCCCGATCCCGGTAATCATCAGAGGACTCACTTGCATTCCCATCCGAACTACTCCCATTCCGATTCCGATTCCGATGTCGTTTAGATCGTTTCCGTTTCCTATCGTCCTCTGAAGAACTTCCCTTCCTTTCAACCTTGGTGTCTCTTTTTTCATGATTAAGTTCCGAGGCATCGTTTTTAGAGCTGTTCTCTTGTATTCTGTTGATGTCTTTATGGGAATCGGAATTGATGGGTTCTTGTTTCTGTGGAGTTGACTTTTGAGTAGGTTGGGGGGGCTTGACATTGACATGATTCTCAGGGGGGACCTCGAGCCCAAGCTCTTTCCCTAAAGATTCCAGAAAGTCACCAGCCACTAAACGACTTAAAGTCGTATTTGCAGCTTCTATTTTCTTTGTTGGATCTTCTGATTGTGGTTGGTTAATAATAATGTTTGAACTTCCCTCTTCATCATCCGAATCATCAGAGAATATAGCCTGTCAGACAACCCACATCATGTATCATGCTTTTGATTAATGGGAGAAGAGAAGAGAAATGAAATGAAATTACCTTATACAGGTCGACTGGTCTCTCAACATTTTCAACCTCAACAACATCTTCAACACTTGTCTCGCCTTTTTCATCCAATTGGGAAACAGGCAACTTGTTGTTTGAGAATGTCTTTTCCACTTCTGTTGCAGCCTTAACATAATCTGGCATGAAAATGAGAGAATCCAACTTGCTTCTTGATCTTGGAGGAGGTGGCGGCTGCAAAAAAAATAAAATAAAATAATAACTCATTGTTTAGACAAATTTACTTGGAACAATTTGTACAGTAGAATAAAAAAAAAAAGTAAAACAATACCTTTCCCATGTAAGGATCGATTAAATCAAAGCGCTTGCATAAAATAGATGCAGGTCGCCATTGAAACTCTTCACGTTTCGGGAACATACTCTTCTCTATTGTCTCTTCACCTCGACTAACTTCCATTTTCTGAGAATTAAAAAAAAGTCAAACAAATCTTTAATCTCATTAACATTGTTACCGGGGGTTATATACTAATATAGGTGTTATACAAATTAGTATAAAACGTGCCTCGGATCCACCAGAAGTGAACTGCAGCCCTCTGCCACCTGGCACACCCAAAATCTGTTGACCGGAAGGTTGACTTTCTTTTCCCCATTTTCCTTGTGTTATTGCTTCTGCAGCAGCCTCAAACTCCAATCTTTCACGAGCACGTGCAGATTCTGACATTTTACTCGATTCTCCCGCATCTTTTGTGCGTAAGCCTCCGTGATATTTTTCCTTCATGTACTGCTCAAATCGGTCTTGCTTTGCAGGGTCATGCTGGAATGGTTTTGTAATCTCTGTGGGCTCCACCTAAAATCAAATTTGTTCAAAAACAAATAAATACCAAACTGAACACTAGTTCATTGTTATTAAGGAATTAGAGACTCACAAATGATGAAGGTTCGGTGAATGTATCTGATAGATGGAACTGAAGATTGACAGTTTCAGTGACACTGACAGGGGCAGGAACGTCTTTTGCTACACTTCTCAACAGAGGCTTTTCTCCTAAAATGTTTCCACGGCTTTCTGCTGTCATTTTCTGTGTATTTGGAGTTACTTTTTCTTTCAAAAGCGGTTTGATTTTGTCACCATGTTTCTGTTTCGCCTCCCATAGTTTCCTTTTATAGTAATCATGCCCATTTCCACCATTAAGAAAGTCAAACAGTGGATTTGACTGGTTTTTCTCTCGGGAAAGTTCCTCAAATAATGGACCACAACGAGCTACTAAAGTCGCAACTCCTTCGATTAAAATCTTTAAATTGTTATCCTCAGGTGGAGGGACATCTTTCGGGGGCAATTCTGTCATTTTGTGGTTGACTTCGGATGTAGCAGGGAAGTTATGATGTGGGACAAAATCTTTTGGGACTACTGGAGGATCAAATCTGAAAACAGTAACAAAAAGAGGTGTTTAGAATGTTAAACATTCAACATATAGAACATGTTTTGATGTGTAAAGACGATGTTTAATGAAAAAAGATGTTACCTTTCTAACTGGTAGTCAGAATTGGTTGCGGGTTTGAAACCAGGGAGAATACCATGTTGTTTTACAGTGGTTTTCTTTTTATCCTCTATGGCTAACTTTGTAGGTTCCTCGATTTCTTCTACAAAAGCTTCAAAATCATAACCTGATGCATACACATCCTCATCTTCTGCATCAAGCTCTTCAAGGGCTCCAATGCCAAAACCAGGGGCAACATTTCTTGCTAGTGAAATCAAGCCAACAAGTTATCGAGTTAAAGACACAAATTATGCCAATAAGAAAGAGGGAACTACTATCATTGACACTGAGTGAGCATGAAAAGATTTGGAGAACATACTTTTGAAGGAGAAGAGGCCATCTTTCTTTGGTGGCTGCCTTTTGTGGCCTGATTCCTTATTCCCAGGTAAATGCGACCTTTTGTTTTCTGAAGGTATGACACAAATTGGTGAGTGAATTAGTTGTTGAATATCAATTTAGTTGGCGAGTTTCTGGAAATTACATACATACCCCTGAACTCTGGAGCACCTTTAAATGGATCGTAGCCTAGACCATGCATATCCTGCTTTGGATTTAGCACATAAACCTGGAAAAAACAAAAAACAAAAGTATGAGACACCAGTCGCCACTTTTACAATCCATGTGATGCATGGAACATGATGAAAACAAGGATATATATATACGCACTGGAGTACTTTTGTGGAGCTGACTAACACCATCAGTAGAGAGCTCTATGTCATCCTCAGCTTCAGCTTGAGTGGGACCCGCAACAGGTGCTTTAGCATCTTCAGAAAGAGCAAGAAAAGCTTTTCTAGCTTCTCTGCGAGCATCTGCAATTAGAGATGGTCATTCAAGGCTCTTTTAAAGGTTTCTCTTGTGACTGGATGCTTTTATCAGATTATGACAAATGCAGTTTATGTTGGATTGATTTGACATGTTAGTGACACTTGAAGAGCATACCATAAAGTGAACTGGTTTTTGAACTCTTTATTGAGTGACCACGACGCCATCCCATTTTCAGCATCAATCTGACACCTAGTCATTAACAGCATGAAGATAGAAAGATATAGTGAGATGCTATTCAAAATGAAATGAAAATTTTATATTAAATGAAAACAAACCTATAGGATCTGTGGCTGGAACAACTATTTCATCAGGAGCAGGTCCAGGAATAGCTGATGGCCTGTAATACATTAAGATGGCATTTAAAATTAGATGTCATAAAGGGTGTGAGAGATAATAGAAATTGAACAAAAATAAAACAGAAGAAAAGTAGATTGTACCTCTCATTTTGTTCTTTCTCAACCTGCTTCCTAGCCACTTCTGCTGCAGTAAATCCAAAGGTGTCAAACTGCATTGATGTCCCCAAAGAATTGCCTTCCAGTTCCTACATTATAAAAACACAAAGCATGGCCATTAACAGATTAAAATTGATGGCAACTCACACTATCATCACAGAATGCAGCAAATATACCAGTAGGTTCTTTAAATAGCATTACATAAAATGTCAAGGAAAATGGATCATTCTTTGAATATATTAGGAAAAAAAAAACACATACAGCTTTCTCATCGTCGTCCAAAAAGTTTGAAAGATCTTGTTGCTTTATTTCAGCTCTGTTCTTCCTTGATGATGTAAATGTTTGTGGAGTCCATCCTGCAGATTTGTCTCATAGAGAAAAATAAGAACCACCTCCAGGAAAACCTTAAACTGTATACAAAAGAAGTTCGTTGTTTAAGAGCACGTCAGTATTTACCCTCTTTGGAGCCCACAGTATTGAAGTAGCCAGCAGAAAATCCTCCACTAAATGCCCCATGAAACCTTCTTCTCCCTTCTTCATCTCTTACCTGAAAGACACATTATATCATAGTTCATTTTCAATGGAAAACAGCACCAAGCTTGCTTAGAACATGTTATGGCATTAATAGGTTATTTTAGTCGTGATTCATATCTGGCAACAAACGATAAACCCCAAAATACTTGTTAAAACCAAATGTCTAAAAATTCAACAGCATCAGAACGAATTCAAAAACCCAAAAACTCAAAATTAGAAAACCCTAAAATCGCTGCAAAGACGTAAATTGACCCTGAATCAATGCAAATCGAGTATTTATAACCAATTAACAGAGCCTAAACGAACTTCGGCTAAATGAAAAAATATGTGTACAGAAAACGTGAATGAAAATCGAACCACACCTCTTGTTTCCAAGGAGCAAGGGTCCGCAGCTGACCAGAAGCTTCTGCAATCGATTTTTTCTTACGGCTGGTTATATCTTCTTCCCGCTCGATTGGTGTTCCGAAGAACACGAAATCCTCTTCGTCACTCGCCATTCTTCAGTTGTGTATATATTACTTCTAGTATGATATCGAGATAACTCTAGGGCCCTTTCTCGCTATCGGGAGCCCTTTCTCGCTATCGGAATTGCCCTTTCTTCAACTCGGATGTGTCACAGGGCATCAATGGGGGTTTGGGGATCACTTCGGTTCCTAATTTCCCTATTGAGGTTTGAGTAAAGAGACGATGGTTGCATTTGACAATAAGGTATTACAAAATAGCCCTTGTGCTTAGAGTGATTTACTGAACAATCCCTCTTCTATTCACTGTGACCGTTAAGTATTTGTTAGTTAAACATCATCAATCAAATGCTAAGATTGATGTTCCCAAGAACACAAAGTAGCCCTTGTACTTAGAGTGATTTACTAAACAGTCCCTCTTCTATTCACCGTGATCGTTAAGTCTTTGTTAGTTAAAACATCGTCAGCCAAATATGCCAAGATGCGATCATCTTTATATTGTTTTGTGAGTCTTTGTTAGTTAAAACATCGTCAATCAAATATGCCAAGATGCGATCATCTTTATATTGTTTCGTGAGTTGTGACGATTTGCTTTTGTTCGATATTTGAGTTCCCACTATTTTTGTTGCAAATGGTGTTAGTTATCTAAGCAAATCCTTTATGGAGAGTTGTTTGTTCTCGTACCATAGGGCATGGGATATTCTATAAACTAACATATTTATGACAAATTTGTGTTTAGGTTTGTGTAGCATTCATGAGTCGATGAAAGAAGTTGTATTCATTGTTAGCATATTCATTATAATAGGAAGTGATTCGTACACACCAGTTTTTCTATATACACAACTATTAGAAATATTGTATTATCTTCTTTCCATATTTTGGAGATCGTAATTATCTTTGATTAGCTAGATTGACAGAGATTTTAGCCATAATTTTAGAATTAGTTTCACATATTTATGTATATATATCCTGTATCATTTGTTTGTAAAGGTTAACAACATACAAGTTTTCTTCTTCAAACTTCTTCATTCTAGCAAATACCATTTTACATGGTATCAGAGCATTGATCTGCTACTACCTATCTTCCGCCCCTCGTTTCTTTCATGAAAAACAAAGAACAAGGGTTCATTGATCTCAAACCTATCAACATGGATCCATCAAATCCATACCATGTACATCATTCAGATCAACCAGGACATATGCTTATTCCAATAAAGTTGAATGGAGCCAACTATCAATCATGGAGTAAATTAATGATTCACGCACTCACTGCAAAAAACAAGATTGGTTTCATTGATGGATCGATAGAGATGCCATCAGACACAGACCAACCGACTGAATTTGCCTCGTGGAATCAATGCAACAGTATGATCTTATTGTAGTTGACACACTCGGTTGAATCAGATCTTACACAAGGTGTGATTCATGCTAAAACCGCTCAACAGGTCTGGGAAGACCTTTGTGATCAGTTTTCTCAAAAGAATGCCCCAGTAATTTTTCAGATTCAAAAGTCTATAGCCATTATCTCTCAAGGTACCATGTTTGTTGCTTCTTATTTCATCAAAATTAAGGGTCTTTGGGATGAACTTGAAGCACATCGCACCCCTATCACTTACAATAAAATGAAAATATATTTGGATCAGAGAGAAGAAGACAAACTTATGCAGTTCCTCATGGGCCTCAACGAGTCTTACAAAACTGGCAGATCAAACATACTTATGATGTCTCCTTTACCAAATGTTCGTCAAACATACTCTCTAATAATTCAGGAAGAAACTCAGCGACAAATGGCCTCAGAACCAACTGAAAGCTTCTCTATTGTTGTAGCTGTTCAAAATCGAACAGCCCATGCAAAATTCAAAGATAAAGTTTGTGACCACTGCAACAGATCTGTACACGCAATCAACGAATGTCGCACCCTCAAATTCCACTGCAAATTCTGTGATAAAAGGGGTCATACAGAGGATCGATGTAGAATGAAGCACGGAACAGAAAGTCAGAATGTTAAACCACCTTAAACACATCAACTTCGTGGACAAAGAAGTGGTGCCCGAAACAATCTTCCCACAGTTAATATGACAGAAGCATCACAAACTGAGAATCATTCTTCAAACATGTTACAAGGATTTACATCTGATCAACTTCAACAACTATCTCAAGCTCTATTTGCTTTAAAACAAAATCAATATCCCGGTAATAGTGATGTTTTTGCAAATGTTGTAGGTTTGTCTATACCAAATGTTTTTGTTAATTTCGTTGCTTCTAAACCATGGATATTAGATAGTGGGGCTACTGATCACATTATTTTAGATCCAAATCTTTTATCTCGATCCAAATTCTCTTCTGTTCCCTGTGTTAATTTACCTAATGGTGCATCAACACCCATTACACATACAGGAACTGTTCTATTCAGCCCTCATATTCAACTTGAAAATGCCCTATGCGTGCCTTCTTTTAATTTAATTTTGATTTCAGCCAACAAATTAACCAAAGCTTTGAACTGTTGTGTTATGCTTTTCCCAAGTTTTTGTGTCTTGCAGGACTTGGCTACGGGGAAGATGATTGGCTCGGGTAAAGAACATGGAGGTTCGTATCACATGTCTCCAAACTACAAAATGCCTTCTTCCTTCCAAGTGTCTCGTCCTGCTAACCTGTGGCATTTACGTTTTGGCCATCCATCTATTGATCGTCTTAAATTCCTATCTTCTATTTTGCCTTGCAATAATGATTGTAACATTCCATTGAGTGATGATTGTGATGTATGCCCTACGGCAAAACAAACAAGACTTTCTTTTCCTACAAGTTCAATTTCAACTCATTATCCATTCGATCTTTTACATTGTGATGTTTGGGGACCACATAAAGTTCCTACCCATTCAGGGGCTCGCTTTTTCCTTACAATTGTAGATGATTTTACTCGATGTACATGGGTATTTCTCATGCAACACAAATCAGAGACACACCATCTTTTAGAATGCTTCCTTAAATTTGTCCAAACTCAATTTTGCACAATTGTTAAGGCCATACGAACAGATAATGGGACAGAAATCCTTCCCTTGCAACCATTATCTCATGCTAGTGATATTGTGTTCCAACGCTCATGTGTCTACACACCCCAACAGATTGGGGTCGTTGAACGAAAACACCGCCACATACTCGATGTTGCCAGTTCCCTCTGTTTTCAGTCAAATATTCCTCTCACCTTTTGGGGAGAGTGTGTTCTCACTGCGGTATATCTTATAAATCGTCTCCCATCTCTTGTGATATCTAAAAAAACACATTTTGAAGCTCTACACAACCGTCCTCCATATGTTAGTCATTTACATGTTTTTGGATGTCAATGCTACGCCACAGTAGTACATCCCACGCATAAAATTGATCCCCGTGCAATAAAATGCATCGTTTTTGGCTATCCTCGTGGACAGAAAGGTTATAAATTGTATGACTTAGCTACAAAGAAATTCTTTGTTAGTCGAGATGTTAGGTTTTATGAACATATCTTCCCTTTCTCTTCACTCTCAACATAAACCACCCCTCCATTACTTCCCAACCTTGGCTTTGATGAAACTTATATGCCCCCACAAATGACCATTACATTTGAATCACCACAACAAGCAGAGCCAACACCCTTATCACCAATCTCATCAGCAAACCCTTCCAACTCACCTACTATAAATCCATCAGATACAGTAGACAATAATGGAAGTTTTCTTGATACAACCAATGCCAACACTGAACAAAATGGACCTGACATAACCCATTCCGTTCCTGAACCTCCTCTACGACGCTCCAGCCGTTACAAAAATACCCCTGCATGGCACGATACATACTTCATGCCGTCTCAAGCCAACCATTCAACCTCTAACACAAGTTGTAAGTCCCTAATTCGGATCTATCAAGGTATCAATACAATCATTTGATTAATGCGGAAACTTAATCAAACAATGATACGAAACAATCAATTAGATATATCAAGAACACGTTTCAATAACATGAATGCACACAATTCTATTGAATAATTGTCAAGTAAACTCAATCACACTTCAGCCGTGAATCACTAGAATTCCCCAAAAACGCATTAGCCTTAGAAGGCTATACACAGACCATATATATACTAAACCGATAACCTAAAGCCCATACATAAAAGTCCACCGAGAACACACTAAGCCCACCGAAATCACTAGGTGATTTCGGTACAAAACCGAGAACAACATATTACATTCAAACCAAAGCATAAACCACTAAATATAGCCCAACAATCTCCCCCTTGGTTTATTGCTTTCTGTTCTCTTTAAGGTTTCTCTACGAGATGCACGTCTGCTTAGTCAAAAGCCTCTGCCCACAGCTTCTTGTCAATAATTGTAGCTACCATACCAGTGAAAGCTTTTGCGGCAACCTCAAATAATTCATTCTCTACGATAATCTGAAAGTTTGATAAAGTGCGGATATCACGTTCTCCAAACTTCAACAAATCCTTGGGATCAACAATACGAAACTGGTTTTTCTTTAGCTTGATCACCACCGTTGCAGTAGCCTCATCATAAACCCAGAATTGTACTGTATCCAAAGTGCCTTCAGGTAAGCGTTTGGGAAGAGGAGTCCTTTTGGCTTGCTTTGTGGATGGCCACATGGCATTCACCATTGTTTTGTTGGCGCGTGGATCAATGACACCCTTGGCCTTTTTAGTAAACGATGAAGTAGTCTTTAAATCTTCAAAGTTATTTTTCGCTTTAATCTCAAGAAAATTCTTAAAGGACCATGCCATGGTATCATTGGTTGGATTGTGGAAAGGTGTGTGGATGAGTTCAGAAATATCAACTTTTGTCCAGGGCAAGAAGTCGACTTTCTTCTCATAATATTCAATTCTTCCACTTTTCCGCTTCACGATCCACATCTTTTTATTAGCATCATATCCCCACATCATGATACCATAACGATCACCATATTTGTCAGTGAACTTCTTTCCAGTTTCCCTAAAGAACATTTTAGGGTGATCACCCGGAGCATTTTGATTTGAATTCTTCATCACGAGCATTTTCCCTTTCAGCTGCTCAACCCTAATTTGCTTCTCTCTTCTTTCTTGAGCAGAAAGAGAAGCAGAAGATAAGAATGTATCAAGGTTAGCATCTAGAGCAGGTATTGTAGCTCTTTCACTTGAAGATTGAGAAGTTAGATTGGCGGGACCTGAACTAGAAGCGGTGATATTTTCTCCTTCAGCGCTCAAGGGTTGAAATTCATCACCAAACTTCTGAAATAGGCGTTGTTTCAGATCAAAGAATAGAGCAGTTAAACCACCGAGATTCGCTTGAAGCTCTGAGATCTTTGAATCTTTATTAGAGTTCTCTTTCTCAAGCTCGCTGATTCGAATATCCTGCTTTCCAATTATCAAATCCTTTTCAATAGAGTTTTATTCCAAATCAAAGACTCTGTTCTAAAGCTGAACTACATCAACAAATTCAGATTCAAGCAACTTGCTTTTGCCTTTGGAGATGTCCAGCTCGGGTGTTTCAAATGAGCTTCCTAAAGCTTGAGCTCCTTCTGAAGGTATGACTTCTTCTTCAACAATCGGGCTTTGAAAATCCTGATCCATAGAAATGGGCTCAGTGATCGGGCTTGTGATAAGCACTCCCGGCCTTGGATCTCTTCTTTTTAGCTTCCTTGGGAGTAAAGCGTTAGTTGAGTCCTCTGGATCACTTTCAGATGGAGGTTTAATATCAACAGGAACTGTTTGGGGAGGCTTCCTTGCAGTTCGCTGAAGTTATGTTATAAGAGCATCCATCTGTTTAGGGGTCGGTATGGAAGATTGCACCACTGTGTCACTTTCCCTTTCAGTCACAACCGGAGGTGTGACAGCTGCATCCTCTTCTCGGTTTGAGATTGTAACATCCATAAATTTTACGCCAAATTTAAACTTTTTCAATCATGAATAAAAATCAAATAGCATCGTTTACAAAAATGTTTTCAAATCAATATCCATCAGAGTGTCCCAAAATCATAACTTAAGGATGAGGAGAGGCACGGTCACGCCTTCGCCTTGCCATGATCTCCTGAAGTACCTGAAACAATAAACTGATAACTGTAAGCTCGAGGGCTTAGTGAGCTACCCTCAAAATACCAATACCACACTGAAAATGCCATATCAGTAACAATCAATCAATCAACATGCATACTGGGCCATCGGCTTGACTGGACCGCCCTACTGGGCCTACAGTCTATCTGAATCTATCCCGAGCCTTCGGCATGACTGGTCCGCCACGTGGGCCTGCAGTCTCCCCGGACCGCTCATAGGGTATGTTGGCCTTCAGCACGAAGCAGGACCGCCTCAACCCAACCAACAAGCAAATAACCATGTGCGCATAACTATCATATACTAGCATACAAACATCAACATATCTATCTCACTGATCATCAATCATAGAATTCTCTCGTAACTAGAGTACCGACCTAGCAGGTCACTAGCATACCAATCCTTACGGATCATAAGAGCATAGCATACTGTCTACCCTGATTCCGATCTAACAGATCATAACCACATGTAGCATACCATAACAATACCAACTAAAGGGCCGGCCTCGGTGTCGTAGACCCTATCGATATAGTGAGGATAACTCACCTTGCAGATGTCGACTCGGAAGATAAACTCCAACTCTCGGATCACTTGACATAGGCTCCACCACCTATGATCATAGCACAATATACTCATCAGTCCTTAACCTTATAAGGTACTCCATAACCCACTGGTCAACCCCTGATCAAAGTCAAAGTCCCCAGCCAAGGTCAACAGTCCATGTTGACCCCAACTCGTCGAGTACCCTCGGCTACTCGCCGAGTTCCTTGAAGCACTTTCCAACTCGCCGAGTCATCGGGGTGACTCGTCGAGTTCCTTCGATTCTCGTTCAAATTTTAAGGCCACCCGTCGAGTTCCCTCCTTGCAACTCGACGGATACACATGCATACATATCCTAGGGAAAACTCACCCGACTCGCCGAGTTGTTCTTCAACTCGTCGAGTCTTAAGGTAATCATCATCGGACTCGCCGAGTTGTTCATCCAACTCGTCGAGTTCACAGCCATCTTCATGTGACTCGCCGAGTCAACCTCGCGAGTCGTCGAGTCCATTCAGTCCTTTTCCCATACATACTTGATTTGAGCCATGCAGCGGCTCCAAATCACAGATCCAAGATTCTAGGGCATGCTTATCACGTAAAGTTGCAAACTTTACGTGCATCCACGGCTATAAAGGCTCTAAATGCCTATTTTAAGTTCTTAATGGAGCTTCATGCTCAAGAGGGACCTCAATCATGACCAAAACTGTAACTTTATGCTTCTAGAATCCTAGGAGGGTCCAGATCTGAAGTTACAACCTCAGATCTAGCCCATAACTCATCCTTCCAACTTAATATCTCACAAAAACCTTAAAACTCAACCAATAGAAGAGATTCACAAGGAAAAAGGCGATTTGGTTACCTCCAGAAGGTGATAACTGAGATAAGTGTTGGTTCCCACACTCTACTTGCTCCAATCTCCTTCTCCTCCAAGCCTTCTCCCTCCAAAGATCCTCTTTTCAAGCTTCAATCACACAATGGGCACACCCACACGCGTATTAGGGTTTTAAGGAGCTCTCAAAGACTGCAAAGAGGCCAAAGGAGGCTGAGGCTCCTTTAAATAGAGGTGCAAACCCCGGGATTTAGGGTTTCATCTGCCAGCTCCTACTCGCCGAGTCCCAATATGGACTCGTCGAGTAGGTCACTTAACTCGCGATCCCACCCCGCTGCTACTCGACGAGTAGGGCAACCAACTCGTTGAGTAGGGCCTAACCCAAAAACATCTTATTTAAACAATACTTGAGAATCGGGGCGTTACAGAGATACTTTGCTGAATAAAATCTTCAAACTCATTTCCTGTCAATTCATTTTCTTGATTCTCTTGATCTTCTTCATCATCAATGTAACATCCATAAAATTCAAGCCAATTTAAAACTTTTTCAACCAATTAAAACCATTAATTATTACAAAGTGTTTTCAAAATCTTTCATATCAGAGTATCCCAGAAATCAAAAAACATAAAATATGAGGAGCTGTACGATCACGCCTTCGCCTTCCCGCGATCATCCGAAGTACCTGAAAGCAAAACTGTAACTGTAAGCCCGAAGCTTAGTGAGTTTCCCCCCAAAATACCAATACACACAACAATATACACATAATCACAAACAACATACTATGGGTCCAATCAACCATCGGGTTGGAATACCCCAGGCCCTCAACCATCGGGTTGGAATGCTAACATACTATGGGTCCAGTCATCCTCGGGCTGAAATACCCTCGGCCCACAACCATCGGGTTGGAATGCCCACATACTACGAGTCCAATCATCCTCGGGATGGAATACTCACAGCCCACAACCATCGGGTTGGAATGCCCAGGTCTGTTGGCTCTCGCACAAAGCAGATAAGCCTCAACCACCAATCAAAGATGTGCACATATACCAGATAATCACATAACAGTCTATAGACAGGCAAACCGATCTAACAGATCATAACAGCATAATAACATCCTATCTACCGGGATACCGATCTAACAGATCATACTAGCATAACATCATCCTATCTACCAGGATACTGATCTAACAGATCATAACAACATAATACCATCCTATCTACCAGGATAATGATCTAACAGATCATACTAGCATAACATATCAGGATAACAATCTAAAAGGGTCGGCCTTGGTGCCTTAGACCCTTGAGTATAGTGAGGAAAACTTACCTCACAACTGTCGAACTGTAGTGATAAGATCAAACTCTCGAATCACAGCCACGAACTCCACCACCTATATTCACCATAGGACCACTTCCATAAATTCCCAGTTTACTAAAACACCCACAGAAGTCAAACATGTCAACCCTTGATCAAAGTCAAAGTCTACGGTCAAGGTCAACAGTCCATGTTGACCTAACTCGTCGAGTGCAGCTTACTGAATCGTCGAGTCCTTCCAGAACTCGAGAACTCGTGAATACCCTAGTTGAATCACACCCTTTAAGGGTGAGACCTTCAGTAGAACCATGTCTCCCACCTGGAACTCCAACTTAGATCGGCGCTTGTCGGTGTAACTCTTCTGCCGACTCTGAGCGATTTGCAGTCGCTTTCTGATATGCTGAATCCTCTCGGTAGTCTGCAGAACTACCTCTGTCTGTCCCATCACCCTGTGACCGATCTCACCCCAACAAACTGGGGCGCGACATCTCCGTCCATACAATAGCTCATATGGTGGGGCACCAATACTGGAATGAAATTTGTTGCTGTAGGAGAACTCTGCAAGGGGTAGGTAGGAGTCCCAGCTATCACCGAAGTCAATAACGCAGGCTCTCGGCATATCCTCGAGAGTCTGTATGGTCCGCTCACTCTGGCTGTCTGTCTGCGGATGATAGGCTGTACTTAAGTGCAGTCGCGTGCCCAGTTCCTCGTGGAACTTCTGCCAAAAATGGGAGGTGAACCGAACATCGCGCTTTGAGACAATAGAGATCTGCACCCCATGGAGAGCAACGATCTCGCGGATATACAAGTCGGCCAACTTCTCGGCCGATGAACTCTCCCGTATCGCTAGAAAGTCGGCGCTCTTGGTCAATCGATCCACGATGACCCAAATAGCGTCGAAGCCCTTTGCCGTCCTCGGCAGCTTAGTGATAAAATCCATCGTGATCTGCTCCTATTTCCACATGGGGACCTCTAGAGGCTGCAGCTTGCCATGCGGCCTCTGGTGCTCGGCCTTGACCATCCTGCAGGTCAAGCACCTCTCCAAGTACCAAGCGATTTCTCGCTTCATGCACAGCCACCAATAGCTCAGTCGCAAATCCCAGTACATCTTGGTGGCCCCCAGGTGAATAGAGAAGCGAGACTTATGAGCCTCCTCCAGAACAATCTGTATGACCCCACCAGACATCGGAACCCAGACCCAACCGCAACAGGTCAATAATCCCCGACTATCCTGCACAAACCGAGTGTTCTTACCCCTAATCCTCTAAAGCTTCTAGTTCTACTGACGCATACCATATGCCTGAGCTTCCCTGATCAAGCTCACAAGTGGAGAATCCACTAATATCCTCATACATGTCACTAGGATAGAAGATCCAGCTGACTTGCGACTCAGAGCGCCCGCAACCACGTTCGCCTTACCTGGGTGGTAAAGGATCTCACAGTCGTAGTCCTTGACTACATCCAGCCACCTACGCTGTCTCATGTTCAGGTTCGGTTGATCCATGATGTGTCTCAGGCTCTTGTGGTCCGTGTATATGGTACAGCGGACCCCATAGAGGTAATGTCTCCAAATCTCGAGAGCGAATACCACCACTCCCAACTCCAGATTATGAGTAGGGTATCTCGTCTCGTGTGGCTTCAACTGTCGCGACACGTAGGCTATCACCCGTCCTCTTTGCATGAGGACCGCTCCCAGTCCCGTGATGGATGCATCACAGAACACTACAAAATCCTCAACTCCCTCCGGGAGAGTCAAGACTGGAGCCTCGCATAGTCGCCGCCTAAGGGTCTCGAATGCCCTTTGCTGCTCAGGGCGCCACCGGAAATCCACCACTTCCTCATCAGACGAGTGAGGGGTACTGCAATCTTGGAGAAATCCTGTATAAATCTCCGGTAGTACCCTGCTAATCCCAAGAAGCTCCTGATATCCGAGGGATATTTTGGAACCTCCCACTGCATAACCGCCTCGATTTTGGCCGGATCGGCCAAAATCCCCTCCTGGTTAACGAGATGTCCAAGGAACTGAACCTCTCACAACCAAAACTCGCACTTCGAGAACTTGGCATAAAGTCGTTCTCGTCTCAAAACTCCCAATAGCTCCCGTAGATGCTCCTCATGCTGCTCTCGGGTCTTGTAGT